TAATAACCATTAACAGCATATGGCAATTGCATATAACTAGCTCTATCACAGTTTTTGTACAGGTCGGTTATTATTATATTAATATGTATGCTAAAAAGCTAAAATAATGGAAAATGGCAGCCATTTTAAATTGTAATAGCTCAAAAATGTGTACAATATTTAGTTAACTGTTGCTGTCATTGTTATGAGTGGATTTCCAATTAATTACTGCATTTTAATGACATAAATTTACAATATTAGTGACAATTTTAGGAAAAAATGGCGGCCATTTTGAAACGCCTGGCAACCCCCCTTACGTATGAAAAAAAAAATGTTGCACATACTTTTTTGATTTATCTATGTCTACTCTACATCATATCCAATTTTTAAAAAATATAGCAAAAAAAATGCAACCAACCAAAGTTTGCTGGACTATTATCTTTTAATAGCAGATTGAATTTTTGAGAATGGGCTTACCTCAAGTAGGAATTTTGGACTTTCTGGCATAAACAGAAATGTTACAACTGAACTAAGGGCTGGAAAAACACAGCAGACAATAAACAAACGCCAACTAGTAAACTTAAAATTTGAAGAAGAGACACCAATGCTTTTTGGAACGATAATCCAAGCCAACGATGCTGCAATAATATTTCCAAACATCCAGAACGTAGACAGCAAACTTATCATTGCCCCACGCCATTTCTTTGGTTGGAATTCACCGAAGTAACTGAAGATCACTGGAGTAGCACCCCCTACACTGAATAATAAACACACAAAATTGTTATCGAACAATGATACTGTAAGTTGTAACTACACAATTTAAAAAAAATACATAGGTTTTTATACTAATTTTCCAAAAAAATATATATTCTACCTTTATATTACTTTCCATATCAATCAGAAAGGCAGTGGTGGACACAATAATGGGCTACTGTATACTGTAGATAGGACACATAGTTGACTATTATATCGGTAATATTTTAAAAACATTATTTTATCAAATTACTGTTTAAATAGGTATATAAGTTTTATCTTATTAAAATTGGTATCTTACCCAATACCACTTAAGAAACGCATAAAAACAAAGAGCCAGTAACTCTGTGCAACACTGGATAACAATCCAAAGAGGGCGTTACACGATAACGACCACAAAAGAACAGAGCGTCGGCCACGAATATCACTCATAGCACCCCACACATAACCACCAAACATCATACCTGAAAGAAGTAGAATTGTTTAAAATAGCAGGTGATTGACTCTATATGGTTAAGATTTCATGCCTGCCATGAAAATGTCTGGTGGTCACACTTACCTGGGTTGACCTTGGTTTCCCTAATTCAGATACTAGGGAGCTTTCGATTTCACGACGACGATAGGACGTGGAACGTAATGATTTCATTAAAAGTCATTTGTGCATGCAAGAACGTTAAGGTCACCTTGTCGAGTAGATTCTGGAACGCAATTTGGCCAAATCTATGTATGCAGAGAACATAGGCCACCAGGTAGGATGGTCATACATGAGTGATTCCGTTCTAACGTCGCGTCGTCGCACAAATCGAAAGCTCCCTACTGTAGTAGAAATCATTGAGCATAAACATTGTTCTGCACTGTAGTGTGGATTGACGTCTCCAAGGAGGCACCATGTCAACAGAGTTTGGTTTCATTGGACACCGCAGAATCTGTCTTGTTTAATATTATTATGCATTTTTGTTACAATAATGTAAAGAAACATTTAATACTATGGAATCTTCAGTTGTGCTTGTTGAAGTTGCTAGTTTATTTAGTTATTCTTAGCTTATTTAGTTAAATTTATCCCTGTTAAAAAAAGTGAACAGAGATTGATGGTAAATATCTTGGGAGCCTGTGATGCATCTTTTCTTCTGTACATGGGTCTCGTGATATTATTTGGTGTTAAGTGAATCAACATTCAAACCCATGATAAATTACCAAGAAATATTGCAGCACTGAGCACTCCAAGCTGGAAGCTTGTGAGGTCCATTTCACATCTCGCTGATGGCAGGATGAAGGAGATGCTCAGAGTCTCCACAGCGTCACTAGCATTGGCCCAGCCACACACTACCAACACCAGCACGTGAAATCGTCCAAATCCTGCAAGAAGTTTAATTATGGTGGAAATTTATACAAAGATTGCATTGACAAACTTTCTAATGAGAATAACTTGATCTAGGGCTGCAGTGGTAGTGTTAAGGATGGAGAGGTTAACAGGGATATAGAACCAAAACCTGTCAAGGTCAGCGGATTTTCAGTTGAACTACCTTGCATAAATTTATAGGTTGAGGAAGAAAATTTACATTGAGAGAAAAACAAATCTGAACAAAAACAATACCATTTCTTCTGTCGCAGGAAAGCTAATAATAATAATAATCATAATAATCAATTTACTCTAATTATAATAATGATGATAAAACTGATGATAATTATAATTTTATGAAGTACTTTTGAATACTTGATGATAATAATAATATATAATAATACTGATGAGTGATGATGAGACTAACAATAATAATGATGTTAATAATACTGATAATATCATCTTGGAAAAAATTCATATAGCTATCATTGTCAATAGTTATGTTTTTAATTTCTTGTCTGTTTATAATATTAATGATGAAGATAACAGAAACAACAATATTACATTAACCATCTATAGTCTGAATATTTTGTAATCTTGTCTTCATGAAAACACTTTTCCATTATTTCTCTATTGTGTGTTGTAAACTACGATGACTTACAATAAATGTATTTACAGTAAGTCATTTTCCAAATGGTTCCTTCTACAGTGTAATTATCACATGTAGTAATGTTGAAATTTTCAATATTTACAATCCAGTAACCTTGTGACTGGCTATTATATTTAATGATTTGAATTGAGGTCTGCACCAATACTTACCCACAATGTTAATGGCATCATCATAAGATACTGCACACTCTGCAAGTACAAATAAAAGCAACAATAGGTTTTAAAACAAATAGCATTACTCAGCATTTTAGTGCTAAGTTAAAGATTTGAATTTGCATAGCACTTTTTTAGCACAATTCATAAGGTGAAGATACTCAAGCAACTAAACACAGTATTGCCAATAATGCATAACTTTGGTTGGTTGCATTTTTTTTTGCTATATTTTTTAAAAATTGGATATGATGTAGAGTAGACATAGATAAATCAAAAAAGTATGTGCAACATTTTTTTTTTCATACGTAAGGGGGGTTGCCAGGCACACATAT